ATGACCATCAAATCAATACATACAGACTGTTATATATAGATGTTATATACAAACTGAATGGTCACCACAAATCAAAACCCAGTAATAGACATACAAAAATTAAAGAGAAAGGATTCCAAATATATCACTAAAGAAAACCAACTAATCATGAGAGAACAAGAGAAGAAAATAACGGAGAAGAACTACAACAACCATAAAACAGGAACAAAATGGCAATAAATACTTACCTATCAATAATTACTTTGAATGTAAATGGACTAAAATGCTCCAATCAAAAGACATAGGGTGGCAGAATGGAGAAGAAGAAGAAGAGGAGGAGGAGGATGAGAAGGGAGGAGGTAGGTGAGGTGGGAGGGGAAGGATAAGACACATCCAGATGCTGTCTATAAGGGACTCACCTTGGAACTAAACACATTTACAGATTGAAAGTGAAGGGATGGAGAAGCATTTATCATGCAAATGGATGTGAAAAGAAAGCTGGAGTAGCAATACTTATATCAGACAAAATAAACTTTAAAACAAAGATGATAACAAGAGACAAAAAAAGAACACTATATAATAATAAAGGGAAGAATCCAGCAAGAAGGTGTAACAATTGTAAATATTTATGCATCCAAATTGGAGCACCCAAATACTTAAAACAGTTAGTAACAAACATAAAGAAAATAATTAATTGTAATACAATAAGAGTAGGGCACGTTAACACCCCACTTAACATCAATGGAGAGATCATCCAAAGAGAAAATCAACAAGGAAACAGTGGCTTTGAATGTCACATTGGGTTGGATGGATTTTAACAGATAGAGTCAGAACATTCCATCCTAAAACAGCAGAATACACATTCTTTTAAAGTGCACATGGAACATTCTCCAGTATAGATTACATATTATGCCATAAAACAAGTCTCAACAAATTCAAAAAGACTGAAATCATACCATGCATTTTTTTTCTGACCACAACACTATGAAACTAGAAATCAATTACAAGAAAAAATCTGGAAAGAGCACAAATACATGGAGGTTAAATAACATGCTCTTAAGCAATGAATGGATCAACCAAGAAATCAAAGAGTAAATTCAAAAATACACGGAGACAAATGAAAATGAAAATACAAGGGTCCAAAATCTTTGGGATGCAAAAGCATTTCTAAGAAGGAAGTTCTTAGCAGCACAGGTCAACTCAAGAAGCAAGAAAAATCTCAAATAAGCAACCTAATGTTACACCTAAAGGAGCTAGAAAAAGAACAAACAAAATCCTAATCAATAGAAGGAAGGAAATAATAAAGATCAGAGTAAAAATAAATGATATAGAGATTTTAAAAGCAATAGAACAGATTGATAAAACCAGGAGCTGGTTCTTTGAAAAGATCAACAAAATTGATAAACCTTTAGCCAGACTCATCAAGAAAAAAGAGAGGATTCAAATAAACAAAATCATAAAAGAGGAGAAACAACAACCAACACCACAGAGATTTAAAATATTGTAAGAGAATATTGTGAAAAACTAGAGGCCAACAAAATGGACAAACTAGAAGAAACAGATAAATTCCTAGAAACATATAACCTCCAAAAACTGTATCAGGAAGAAATAGAAAATATGAACAAGCTGATCATTGGAAATTGAATCAATGATGAAAAACTCCCAACAAACAAAAGTTCAGGACCAGATGGCTTCACAGGTGAATTCTGCCAAACATTTAAAGAAGAGTTAATACTTATTCTTCTCAAACTCTTCCAAAAAATAGAATAGGAAGGAAAACTTCCAAATTCATTCTAGGAGGCCCATATTACCCTGATACCAAAACCAGAGATACCAAAAAAAGAGAACTATAGGCCAATATCTCTGATGAACATAGATGCAAAAGTCCTCAACAAAATATTAGCAAAACAAATCCAACAACACGTTAAAAAAAATAATTTACCACAATCAAGTGGGATCTATTCCTGGGATGCAAGTGTGGTTCAATATTCAAAAATAAATCAACATGATACATCACATCAACAAGAGAAATGTTAAAAATATATATGGTCATTTCAATAGATGCAGAAAAAAATTTGACAAAGGGCAACATCCATTCATGATAAAAACTCTCAACAAAGTAGGTTTAGAGAGAACATATCTCAATATAATAAAGGCCACATATGAAAAACCCACAGCTAACATCATACTCGATGGTGAAAAATTGAGAGATTTCCCCCTAAGATCAGAAACAAGACATGGATGTCCACCCTCATCACTTTTGTTCAACATAGTAGTGGAAGTCCTAGCCACAACAATCAGTCAACAAAAATAAATAAAAACCATCCAAATTCGTAAGGAAGAAGTAAAACTTTCACTATATGTAGATGATATGATGCTATATATAGAAAACCTGGAAGATCCCACCAAAAAACTGCTAAAACTGATAAATGAATTTAGTAAGATCCCAGGATACAAAATCAATGTACAGAAATCTGTTGCATTTCTATACACCAATAATGAAGCAAGAGAAGTAGAAATTAAGAAAGTAATCCCATTTACAATTGCACTAAAATAATAAAATACCTAGAAATAAGCTTAACCAAGAAGGTGGAAAACCTATACTCTGAAAACTATAAAATATTGATGAAAGAAATGAAAGATGATACAAACAAATGGAAAGATATTCCATGCTCATGGATTGGAAAAACAAATATTGTTAAAATGTCCATACTACCCAAAGTAATCTACAGATTTAATGCCATCAATAACAAAATACCAAGAGCATTTTTTACAGAAATAGAACAAATAATATTAAAATTTGTATGGAACCACCGAAGACCCAGAAGAGCCAGAACAATCTTGAAAAAGAAAAACAAAACTGGAGGTGTCACAATTTCAGATTTCAAATTATACTACAAAGCTGTAGTAATCGAAATAGTATGGTACTGGCACAAAAACAGACACATTAGTCAATGGAACAGGATAGAAAGCCTAGAAACAAACCCACAATTATATGGTCAGTTAATCTTCAACAAAAGAGGCAAGAACATGCCATGGGAAAAAAGACAGTCTCTTCAACAAATGGTATCGGGAAAACTGGTCAGCTACATGCAAAAGAATGAAACTGAACCACTTGCTTACACTGTAACAAAAATAAACTCGAAATGGATTAAAGACCTGAATGTGAGACTTGTAACCATAAATATCCTAGAAGAGGCAGGAATTTCTCTGACATTGGCATTTCTAGATCTGTTTCCTGAGGTAAGGGAAATAAGAGCAAAAATAAGCTTTTGGGACTACATCCAAAAAAAAGTTACTGCCCAGCAAAGGAATCAACAAAACTAAAAGACAACCTACTGAATAGAAGATATTTGCAAATGATATAATGGGTAAAGGTTAGTATCCAAAATGTAGAAAGAACTTCTATGATTCAACACCCATCCCCAAATAATCCAATTAAAAATTATGGGCAGAAGCTATGAACAGACATTTCTCCAAAGAAGACATCCAGATGGCCAACAGACACATGAAAAGAGGATCCACATCACTCATCATCAGGGAAATGCAAACCAAAACCACCTCACACCTTTCAGAATGGCCACAATCAAAAACAGAAAAAACAGCAAGTGTTGGTGAGGATGTGGAGGAAAAGGAACCCTCATGCACTGTTGGTGGGAAGGCAAACTGATGCAACCACTGTGGAAAACAGTATGGGGGTTCCTCAACAAGTTAAAAATAGAACTTCTCTACGATCCAGTAATTGCACTACTTGGTATTTACCCAAAGAATACAAAAACACAAATTTGAAAGAACATATGACCCCCCTAGGTTTATTGCAGCATTATTTACAATAACCAAATTATGGAAGGAGCCCAAGTGTCCATGAATGAATGGATAAAGAAGATATGGGGCACATACAATGGAATATTGTTCAGCCATAAAAAGGAATGAAATCTTGCTATTTGCAACAACATAGAGCTAGAGAATATAACGCTGAGTGAAATAAGTCAGTCAGAGAAAGACAAATACCTTATGATTTCACTCACATGTGGAATTTAAGAAACAAAACAAACAAACAAAGGAAAGAAAAAGACACAAACCAAAAGCAGACTCTTTTTTTTTTTTTAAGATTTTATTTATTTATTTGACAGACAGAGATCACAAGTAGGCAGAGAAGCAGGCAGAGAGAGAGGAGGAAGCAGGCTCCCCGCAGAGCAGAGAGCCCGATGCGGGGCTCAATCCCAGGACCCTGGGATCATGACCTGAGCCGAAAGCAGAGGCTTTAACCCACTGAGCCACCCAGGCACCCCAAAAGCAGACTCTTAACTGTAGAGAACAAAGTGATGGTTGCCAGAGGGGAGGTGGGTGGGGGATAGGTGACACAGGTGAAGGGGATTTAGGGTTCACTTATCATGATGAGCAGTGAGTAAGGTATAGATTTGTTGAATCACTATATTGTATACCTAAAACTAACATAATACTATATGCTAATTATATTGGAATTACAGTTAAAAAATTTAAAAAAAAAAAAGACTACTCATCTTGGGAAGTAGCTGTTTAGTCTGCATTAGTGAGCGCCATTTTGTAACCTAACATCCGGCTCCTTTAACTGACAGCATGAAACTTAAGTACTTGGTCTTAGCTCTTCCTGTATTATTATTTCAGTCAATATGTTGAAATTGAATATTTTTCAGTCTTTTTCACTAGACTGGGCTCTCTGAGTGCACACTGTAGGTGCTCAGTGGGTATTTGTTGAACTAGAAGAAACTGGACCTCATGACACTCAAGGCCAGAACCTTCTCATGGTAGCATTAAAGACAGTAATAACAAAAGTAGAATGGGATTTGGGTTTGGGGGTGATAATCTCCATGACAGTGTTTCAGGAGGAAACTGGTGCTTTCTTAGTCCTCTGGGATGTCATGATACAAATGAATTGCTTTTAAACTCATCCTCTATGGCTAACCGCGACCAGGTGCTGGGGCTGGCCAGTCTGCAGTGCTCTGCAGTAGGGTGTTTATGAGCTCTGTCCTTTCCTCAAGGAGCCGGAGGAAGAGGTAAGCATGGAGGACAGCCCCACTATGGTTAAAATGGACCAGGGTGAAAATCAGGTTTTACCAAGTCCAAGAAGAAGGTATCTCCCCAAGGCACTTGGCTACATCACTGGTGATATGAAAGAATTCGCGAGCTGGCTTAAAGGTATTTATGTTTCCCTCCCTGGGGGAGATGGGGGAATTAGCTTCAGGGGAAATAGCTTGCTGATTCTTCTACTCTTATCTTTCATTATAGTCCCCTGCCTTCTATTGACCTCTTTCCTCTCCAGTTTTTAACTTTTTTTTTTTAAGATTTTTATTTTTTTAAAGATTTATTTATTTGAGAGAGAAAGAGAGAGAGCATGAGCAGAGGGAGGAGCAGAGAGAGGAGAGAGCAGACTCCCCACTGAGCCTGAAGGCTGACACGGGGCTCTATCCCACAACTCTGAGATCAGGACCTGAGCTAAAATCAAGAGTTGGATGCTTAACTGACTAAGTTACCCAGGTTGCCCAAGATTTTATTCTTAAGTAATCTCCATACCAAACATGAGGCTCAAACTTATAATCCCCAAATCAAGAGCAGCACATTTTACCGACTGAGTCAGCCTGGTGCCCCTAACTTTTTATCTTCTAACCAGCAAGCCTCTTCAGATATTTTTTTTGTGGAGATAGTGCTTAGAGCCAGAGCCCTACTCATATTAGAGGAATGCACCTGGCTCCATCCCATAATTTTAACACTTAAAAACTGAAGTTTTACTATTGGTAATTCATTTCTTTAGCTTAAGAGTCTGTACTTCTGAGCATGGTGAATAAGGACATTCAGTGCTTTCAGGGTGGGCACTGGGTGTGGAAAGGAACCGCTTGACTTGTCACTTCCTCAGCTCTGCCCGTCTCATCTCTTCCAGACAAACCACAGGTGCTCCAGTTTGTTGACTGGGTCCTTCGGGGCATATCCCAAGTGGTGTTTGTCAGCAACCCCATCAGTGGAATCTTGATTCTGGTGGGACTCCTGGTCCAGAATCCCTGGTGGGCTCTTAATGGCTGTGTGGGAACGGTGGTCTCCACTCTGACGGCCCTATTGCTTGCTCAGGACAGGTAGGTCCCTCCACCTAAGCCTGCTCTTCTTGCTTCTGAAAACGCAGGAGCCAATCCCTGAATCGGCATCAGTGATAAGGCCCCACCCTTCCCAGAAATACCCACCTTTATTTTACAGAACCTGTATTTGTCTTGAACCAGAGGTCAGGGGATTATTTATATATTTTATTCTTTCTCTTTAATCATTCACTAAATCATTCTTCTTCAATGATTAATCAATTATTTGTCATGAGCATTTTATTTGGACAAGAACCTATATGAGTTCTTTTTTTTTTTAGATTTTATTTATTTATTTGAGAGAGAGAGAGAGAGCACAAGCAGGGGGAGGAGTAGAGGGAGAGAGAGAAGTAGACTCCCCACTGAGCAGGGAGCCCAAAATGGGGTTTAATCCCAGGATCCCAAGGTAATGATCTGAGCCAAAGGCGTAAGCTTACTGGACTGAGCCACCCAGGCACCCCATGCATATGAGTTCTTGAAAAGTCTTGGTGAATGCACATCTTCTGTTGTTCTAACTATGGCGTTCCACAACTTGCTGACATGGCCATTAAAGCAATGTCAGTCAAGAATTCAGTCTGCAAGTCCCTTGTTGAGAAGGCAAGTCTTTGCCTAGCTGTCCACTGTCCTCAAGTATATTCCCAAATTCTAGAAGAAAAGATCACTTTTAGGGTTAAACCGGCAAAAATCACATCACTTCCCTACATGTCCCAAAAGATTAGTTAAGGAAGACAATAGGTCAACCTTCAGAAGTGAGGTTAAATACCCAGCAACAAAAAGGAACCCGAGAATGAATTCGGTGCTGAGTGTGCGTATAAATGCAATACTCCGCCCAGTGAAAGTAATTGTTTTTCTTTGTAATAACTTGGAAATGTGTGTTTGGAGACCACAAAATGGAAACACAGGAAGATGAAAAATGTATGCTAAGTTGGAAGACTGATGTTTTTAAGGTCACAAACACTCTGAAAGTGAATTTACAGTTGGACAGTCTTACACCTTTCACCAAGAATGTCAGACTTAGCAGTTTCACGGACCAGCTCTGTTCAGATCAAAGGCTCTTAATGACGCAAAAGAAATAGCAACTTTCTGAAGGAAAGGCTAAAGGAAGCAAAACAAGCCGCCTTGCTCATTTCCCTTTCTGCACCTGGATGCTGGAGTCCTGTCTGGCTAAGACACCTCTGTAGGGGGTTGTTCTATAATGCACATTTGCATTTTATCCTCATCTACGTAAATTTTATTTTTTCCACAATTTTAATAGTGTTTGGCTTTTACAGACTTTGGAATCAATTTCTAAATATAATCTCGTTTTCTAATGTGAACATGATCTGAAAGTTACAAGTGTCATTTATGGGCAAGTACTGTCAGCGTCCACGCAGGATGTGTCCATGCTGTGCCTCTTGTCCACAGGTCGGCAATAGCCACAGGACTCCAAGGCTACAATGCCACGCTGCTGGGAATCCTCATGGCTGTCTTTTCAGACAAGGGCAACTATTTCTGGTGGCTATTACTCCCGGTGTCGGCTATGTCCATGACTTGGTAAGCAGTCCCCGGTTTTCAAAAAACGCTTTAAAAAAAAAATGTACGGGTGGAGGAGGGATTGGAGAGTTACTGTTGAATGGATACAAAGTTTCAGTTTTGCAAGAGGAAAAATGTTCCAGGAATGGACAGCAGGGATGGTTATACAACAGTGTGAATGAACTGAATGCTAGTCAACTAGAGACCTTCATATGGTTAAAATGGTCAGTTATATGGTGCATATGTCTAACAATTTTTAGAAAAATGATTTTTTAAGATTCAGAGTCTGGTTATATCTATTGGAAACAGGAAGCATCACACACACCGATGCATGCATGTGACCCTCCCCACACACCTCATCCCCTCACCCCCCAAGATTCTGATGTAATTGGTCTGGGGTGTTGTTTGGCCATTGGGAAGTCCCCCCCCTTTTTTAAAATATTTTATTTATTTATTTGACAGAGATAGAGAGTGATCACTAGTAGGGAGAGAGGCAGGCAGAGAGAGAGAGAGGGAAGCAGGATCCCCACCAAGCAGACAGCCTGATGCAGGGCTCGATCCCTGGACCCTGAGATCACGAGCTGAGGCGAAGACAGAGGTTTAACCCACTGAGCCACCCATTGGGAGTTTTAAAGGCTCCCGGGGGTTTCTAACACAACCAAATTTGAGAATCACGCCCTACATCAGTGGTCCATCGTGCACACTACAGAATGACAGCAGGGCTTGTGGAAACACAGCCTGCTGCTCCCCTCCCCCAGAGCTTTGGATTCAGTCCATCGTGGGTGAAGCCTAAGAATCCGCATTTCTAACTAGTTCCGAGGTGGTGTGGCTGACCCAGGGACTACACTTTGAGAACCACTGTGTGTGCGGTATGAACTCTCCTTACCCAGATGCCCCTGTTGCCTTCAAAGAACTGCTTTCCTGAATTCAATCCCTTTTAACCCTAAGTCCTTCCAATTTGTTTCTTAAATCCTTTTTTGTTTGTTTTTTGGAAACATACATTTCCTTCCTGCTATGGCACGTTTAGAATATAAAATATGAATATCCACACGCATGAGTAGTACAGCCCACTCTGGACAGTGTCAGCAGAGCACCCCCTCCCCGCACTTGGCTGCGCCCACAGGCATGTGGGAGAGAGTCTGCTGGCAGAGCCGATCTGAACAGGAAATAATTTCCAAAGAACAGGCTCAAGGACAGGAGGTGGGTCACCTGCAGGGACTCACCACACCCCCCCTTCCCATGATCTGGAATTCAGACCTTAGTTGATGGGCCAATAAGTGAGAGCCCAAAAGGGGCCCAGAGACCATCTAATCTAATCTAATCCAGTCCCCCAGGCTACAGACAAGGAAATGGATGTGTAGTTCCTTGCCAAAGGTCACACAGTTCACCAACTGCTTCAGATTTACAGCTGTTCCTCCCCCTCCGGTCCCCCTTCCCACCCCGAGTTTAAGATCTTTTGGGACGCCTGGGTGGCTCAGTTGGTTGGACGACTGCCTTCGGCTCGGGTCATGATCCCGGGGTCCCGGGATCGAGTCCCACATCGGGCTCCCAGCTCCATGGGGAGTCTGCTTCTCCCTCTGACCTTCTCCTCACTCATGCTCTCTCTCACTGTCTCTCTCTCAAATAAATAAATAAAATCTTTAAAAAAAATAAAAAAGATCTTTTTCCTCCAGCCCACACCACCTTTCATCCTCGCTTGGGTAATTGTTCCTTTTTTTCAAAAACAGATATACTAAAGACTCATGAAGATGACACAGAAATTCAAGATGGTGGTAGCCTCTAGTGGGGAGGCAGCAGCTCATGATCATGTGCCATGATCATGGTTACACAGGGGGCTCTAACTGGGAGGAAAGTATTTCACCTCATACCTAAAATACTTCCAAAAATATTTCTACAGCCTAGATTTCCTAAGTCACTGTGAGCAACCCCAGAGTATAATTTTTCAAAAGTCAAACAAGCTAAGAGTTGATTATTGACTTTATGTAAGAATTATTCTCTGACAGGATTTATTCTGCGTGTGTTTGGTTTTCTGTTCCAGTCTGAGGTTTTTGTGTTTTGTTTTGTTTTGTTTTGTTTTCTTTCTTTTCCCCCTGTGAAAAGTTTGCTAAAACACCACATTAGCATTTTGCCCATGAAACAAAGCCTCTGCACAGTGTAGAGATTCGGTCTGTCAACTGAGTTGTCACAAGCGTGAACTTCCCTTCTGTTCTGTGGTTGTTGTTGTTATTAGTCCAATTTTCTCAAGCGCGTTGAACTCCTTGTTCTGCAAATGGGATCTCCCAGTCTTCACTCTGCCCTTCAACATGGCGTTGTCGATGTACCTATCGGCCACAGGACATTACAATCCATTCTTCCCAGGCAAATTGTTCAAACCTGTAACCGCGGTTCCCAATGTCACCTGGCCTGAGCTCAATGCCCTGCAGGTAAGACACACTATCTTCTCGCATTCCTCCCTGACTCTGGAAGACACCCAGTGTCCTCCTGCTTGAGTGTTCTTGGGCATCAGAGCCTGATGGAGACTCTTGTCCCATAAACTGTTTATTTTACTCCAAAGCTTTGGGCTCTAAGGGTTTGTTTGTCATTATTATTATGGAAGTATAGTTAACATACAGTGTTGTATTAGTTTCAGGTGTACAGTAGAGCGATTTGACAATTCTATACGTTACTCAGCGCTCCTCGAAATACGTGCCCTCTTCATCCCCTTCACCGATTCACCCATCCCCCCACTCGTCTCCCTCTGGTAACCACCAGTGTGTTCTCTGTAGTTAAGGGTCTGGTTCTAAAGGGTTTTTTAAATGATTGCTCAAAGCTAAGTTTCCACCTCTCTTCCTAAAAGCCAGTGCAGAGTATAGTGCCATTGGACATCAAAACTCTGTTTCAGACTTGCCCCTTCTTTGGGTGGATGGGATGGGGGCCAGCCCTTGATGAAGGGCCTCCAGCCTGGAGTTAAGGCCTCCGTGACAGCCTCCTCTGATCAAAAGAACTGACAGCTTACGTAGATTTAAAAGTGGAATTCATTACAATGAAATAAAATTAAAAATGCAGTTTCTTAGCCTGACCAGCCATACCTCAGGCGCTCAGTAGCCACCTATGGAATATTCCAGCACCAGAGAAGTCCTGCCGGATGGTGCTGGTCTTCTTCTCCTCACTCTGAGCTACCACCCCAGCATCAGCACCCTTCCTTCCCATTCCGCCTGACTCCCCACCTCCTGGCGCCCTGAGGGATAGTTCTGAGGGAAACTTCCATCAGTTCTGAGGGAAAGCCTATGCAGTCTTTGCCCGTGTCGAGGTCCCTGGTCTAGACAAATAGGAAACGATCTTGTGTAGACACGACAATCCACTGTGAGCTGGAAAATTCAGGGTCCATCCTAGGATAGAATCAAACTCTCAGTACCGTCCTGGGCTCTGTGTTTGGAAGCCAGTGTTAGACCCCGCCTAACGTCTGAGGGGAGGGGGCAGTTCCTCCTGCCAAAGCAGGATCCCCTGTAGCAATCACGGCCTCCCCAAGGTCGCTCAAGGGGTATACATGTGACCAGGGCAAGTGGACTTGGTCACAAAGGAACCTAATGTGGCTAATTATGCCTCTCCTGGCCCCAGCAGAAGTACCATTATAAAGAATTACTATTTGTTGGCTTAAACTGAACCCTATACCTTCCCCAAACTGCCGTATTCTGTCAGCACTTAGCTGAAGTCGGGCCTAGCCAGAACAGAGAATTGTGACATTCACGTGTAGTTGTGTATTTTGAGGACTAACAGGAATTTGTTGATAACTGGAAGAAGCCAAGGCTATTCTAGTTTAAATTAATACATGTTCTCATTAAGTATAAATAGGGTCCCCATTCATGAACTTGCCAATGATTGCTTCTGAATTGTGGATAAGATAACCTGGCTCCAGATCTCTGGCCTTAACCACCCGATTGCACAGTAGTAATAATACTTCTCTTGACCCTGATGTGCACTCCTGTGTTAGCCTGAGAGTGACAGGCCGTTAAGAGCGGCAGAGACGTCAGCTGTGGTCCCTGCCATCCTTGTTGGGAAGTGTGGCAGGTCCTGGCCATGAGACCAGCTAGGAGCCTCCCAGCCACCAAAGCCAAGTGAGTGTGCAGGCCTTGGAGACCCTGAGTAAAGGGGAAATCGAAGAAGGCAGGCTCAGCATTTGCCAGCAAAGGGCTGGTCTATTTCTCGGGATAAAGCTGAAGAACAAGATTTCGCTGTCAAGAGAAAGAGACTTTGAGAAATTAGTACCACTGGCCTCAGAAGACCAGATACGCTAACTCTATGGTTACATTGTCTGTGCATGCGTGTGTCCTGCGGCTTTCTGCTCAGTGGTGTTAACGAGCTCCTTTTCCAAACCGCTTTGCAGTTATTGAAATCGTTGCCCGTGGGTGTGGGCCAGATCTATGGCTGTGATAACCCGTGGACGGGGGGCATTTTCCTGTTCGCCCTTCTGCTCTCCTCCCCAATCATGTGCCTGCACGCAGCCATCGGATCGCTGCTGGGGATAGCGGCAGGTGAGCAAATACAGCACCGGGTACCGCCCCTCCACTGCCACCCCTCGCCCCGGGCATCTTCCATACTCCAGACTTCCTTGAGGGCTCCGCTTCCAAGGGACTGATGGGCGTAGCTTCCCCCACCCCTGGCCTCCTTTCAGAGCGCCCTGCCTTTGGTCCCGAGCCCTGAGCCCACCTGTCTTCTCTACTAGGACTCAGCGTTTCAGAGCCGTTTGAGAACATCTACCTTGGACTCTGGGGTTTCAACAGCTCTCTGGCCTGCATTGCAATCGGAGGAATGTTCTTGGCTCTCACCTGGCAAACCCACATCCTAGCTCTTGCCTGTGGTGAGTGTACCCTGCATGGGAGGGAGGGTCACTCCTAACTCTGGAATCAGTCCCCACAGTACAAAGGGACCATGTGAGACACTGGAGCTGCAGTTCCAGGGTGGGCTCCTGGCTATCTGCATGTGGGAGCAGGACGGGTGGCGTCCCCTCCCTGGGAGGGTTAAGCTCTGCTGTGCCGTCCTCATTGGCTGTCGTGAGGGCGGGAGAGCCTGTTGAGTCGTGATCACTATTTGGCATCTGCATATGAGGGGGGTAGAAACTCGACTCATTCTATTTCATCACACTCATGATCTGACCCAAGAAACTAGAATGGAATGACTCGGGCTAGATACAGAGCCATTCCTCCTGCTGAGCCAGATAGGACTACATGTGGCCGTCCAGCTGTCTCACGCTTCAGGGAGCCTCGGAATCACCTGGAAGGCTTGTGAAAACATGGATGGCTGCCTACCCACCCCCCAGTCCCTGATTCCTCCTACGAGGAGGAGTTGACATTCCTAACCAGGGTCAGACAGCACTGCTGCTGTTGATCTGGGGACGACCAGATCCTTCAAACCACTGTGTTCATCCCTTCTGACCCTGGTACTCCAGCAACTCAGCCGGTCAGAGCTAGGAGAAGGTCTGGAGCTCTCCCACTCTGTCCCCCTCATTTTACTATTGGGGTTCCGAGGCCAGAAAGGTGAAGTGGTGTGCTGAAGGGCATCCAGTCAATTAGGGTAAATGCAAGCCCAGAACCCACACTTGCTAACAATCTCTGGAATTACACCCCCCACACACTACTCTGTTTCCCAGTGGCAGCATTCAGGCCTTGAGGTAAAAACAGAGCTCAAGCGACTGAGATTTGAAAAGCTGATGGGTTTCTCAGGCCCTTGTAAAGGGGAGGCTTATTCACCCAGAGGCTCTGGCATCCCTAATCCAATACAAAGTAAAAGAATTTAAGATAATCGGTTAGCGTGTAGGGAATGACCGTCCCTGGGGAATATGCAGTGGGGAGGATGGACTGTGCAGAAATTATTCCTAACCTAATAGAAATATTTGTCTAGAGTCAGTTTATCACCAGATGAATTGATCCAAGTTATCTAAGCCACTACTAAAATGGCGGATCACATCTAGACATCCACAATGGAATACTACTCAGCCATTAAAAAGAATGAAATCTTGCAACTTGCACCAATACGGGTGGACCTTGAGGGTATTATGTAAGTGAGATAAGTCCAACAGAGAAAGACAAATACCATATGATTTCACTTACATGTGGGATCTAAAAAAAACAGAACAAAGCAAAACCCAGACTCATAAATGCAGGGAACAGATCGGTAGTTGCCAGAGGGGAGGAAAGAAGGGGGTGTGAAGGGGTAAAGGGAAGTATAAATTTCCAGTCATAAAATAAATAAGCCACGGGGGTGTCATATACTTCATGAGGAACAGAGTCAGTAACATTGTCTTAATTTTGTGTGGGGGCAGACAGTGACGAGACTTTACCGAGGGGAGCGTTTCACAGCGTATACAAGGGCAGAATCACTGTGCTGTACACCTGAAACTAATATAATATTGTATGTCAATTATACCTCAATTTAAATACAAAAATAGAAGAGTAGGCCACATGTGAGGCAGGACTCAGAATGGATTCCTGCACTGGGCAGGAGGCAGGACCAAGGATCTCGAAGGCCTCACTGAGATGTGATTGTCCAAGGCTGTAGCTAGGTGAACACACCTCAGGTTGCTGTGGCAGGACCATGTATGTGTCATTTTGTCCCTTTCTTTGTAGTACACAGCTGTTCCAGCAACTAAGCCTGTAAGAACTCTAGGCTCACTTTCCCACATTTGTTCACAAGCTTAGGGCAAAGGAGAAGATAGATTATGTTGCCACCCGAGCTAGGCCAGGTTAGAAGCTTTATTGTGAGATGGTTTGGGGTTTCAAATCTTTATTTGAGGCACATACCTTAATGTGTCTGTGTTGGCAGGAGCAGCAAATACGTATTAAACACTCATGAAGCAGCCCAAATAGTTCTAGGAAGAGCTAGGAGCTTAGCAGGGTTAGATCTCAGAAGCTGTTGTGCCCAGTGTTCCGGCCCAGGGCTGAAGCCAGGTATATGGGAGAAGCCCACCGGAGACAGCAGGAATATCTGTAGCAGAACAAGGACACATCTGCAGTACCAGCATCTCTGGGGGGAGCAGAACAGTTCGGAATCATCAAGAAGCACCTCCTAGAGAAAGTGGCTTTTCTGTACATCCTAAAACCCTGGAGGAGAAAGTCTGGTTGGTGGAAGGGGAGGTCAAGCAGACGCTGTTTTGGACACAAGAGTTGTTGATGAGATCTTGGCAGGGTTTGGAAAGCAGGGAAGCCAAAGCTGTTTGCAGATGTGTTTCCTCAAAGCAGGAGTATCTTCATTATTTTCTTCACTATAAGAGTAGTACAGGCTTATTGTACAAGACAAAACACCAATTCAATCAATACAGAAGAATATAAGGCAGAAAGTAAAAACATTCCATCCTTCTTCCTCAATGCAACTTTTTTGCCTCCTTCTTATGAGGACCCTGTGGTTACATTGGGTTCGCATAATGGTTAGGGCAGTATACAGAATTCGTGGAGAGCCCAGACCCTGGGGCCAAAATCGTTGAATTTCCCTCGATGTTGCATTCACCCCGACAAAGGCCGTAGGATTTCCCCAGCCGCAGACAATGTGTGAGAGGGGCTCTTTCATCCACTCAGGATACTGCCCGTCTCCTCCGTCTTTGCACAGAAAGCGTTGAGGCAGACTTCGAGCCCCTCTGGTACAGCAAGCCTCCCATGGAAAATGTCACAGCAAGCTCCAGCTTGCCCATAGCCCCCTGACCCTGCCAAACGAGAGACCAACTCTGCCAGCCAGGGTAAATAAATAACAGCCATTTATTACAGAGTTGCTCCTCTGCTGGTTCCGATGGCCTTATCAGGAAGGGGAGCGGGGGACTCTGATAGGGCCCAGCAGCGCCGCCTGCTCTGTCTCCAAACCGGAAACTGCCCACCCGGGAAGTCCTCAACTTTGTTATTTTGTCAGGGCAAACGGGAGAAACATTTTGTTTCTTTTTGTTCTTTTTTTTTTTTTTTTAAGAGTTGGGGAGGGGCAGAAGGAGAGAGAGAATCTTAAGCAGGCTCCATGCCCAGCGCCGGCCCACGGTGGGGCTCGATCTCACGACCCTGACATCATGACAGGTGTGGAAATCCAAAGAAGGGGGTTAACTGACGGAGTCGCCCAGGCACCCCAATGTTTTGTCCCTTTTTAGTGCTTGGCTTGTCCTCGTTGGACCGGCCCATGGTGGCCTGCTGAGATGGACACTGTCTGCTCAGCCCTCAGGGCCTTTCTGTCCATCGGTTGCCCAGAGCGTTGTCATTCACAGTCATCACCTGCACCTTGCGGTGTGGGGACTTGCCCCTCTGATGGGAGGCTTTCCCGGTCCCGCTCAGCAAGCCTTAACTGATGGGCAGCCACTGTTCGACAGTCTGACGCTCTTACTGTGAAGAGAAAAGCAACCTGTAATCGGAGACCACTTGGAAATAGCAGAGCAGGAAGAGAGCAGGGCAGGAACTGTGCCTTCCACGTGCAACCCGTGTGAAAAGGACAGGAAAGGCAGCGAGGTCTCATGCGCTCGGGGGAGGTCTTGGAGGAGAGCCGGAACCGAGAGAGCAGGGCAAGTGTTCTGGTGCTTACCCGAGAGCCAGTGAATATGTGTTGAATGAGCGAGGGAGGGAAGGAAGGAAGGAAGGAAAGAAAGAAAGAAGGGGAGGGAGGAAGGAAGGAAATGGAAAATGAAATGACCAAGACCAAACAAAGCTCTTCCAGCCCAAGCCACTGCCCACTTCTGCTCAGGGCAGCGTCCCCGTCCGCCCGCTCCCGGGACGGGGAGGGTGGACAGCTGCTGTTTGTGGAACCGGAGGACTGCATTTGAGATTCGTCTCCCCGCAAAGCGCATCTTCAGGTTGCCCTTTACAGACGGCAACACTAGATTCCAAAGTTCAGTGATTTGTTGTACAATAAAATGGAGAGGGGTTTGAAGCCCCAAGCCTTTCCTGCTAGCCTGAGGCAATTCAGATGTAGAAGAATTAGGTATACTGTTGAACAACAACAACAGCAACAAAAAAACAACAGGGAAAAAAAAGACCAAAGATTGATGAAAGGATGGAAGTCTACAGTCAAGTAAGGAGGATCAGAGTCCCTCCTCCCACTTCCAGGCCCGCTCCGCTCAGGACTCACTTCTCCCTGCCCTGGAGGTCTGGGTGGTGGGTGTGTCTAACAGAGCGAGCCGTGGCCCAGGGGGCTGTGTGCCCAACCCAGGGAGGTTATCCTGCAGCCTGCCTTTGTGAAACCTGGGCTTCCCTGAGCCTCCCTGAGCCCCCCTCTTCAATGGGTGATTAGCCACTCGAGATCTTTTTTTGTGTTGTGTTGTATTGAAGTTCACATGTAGACTCAAATTACCTGCTTTAAGATTTTGCTCAGAGTAAATAAAAACACAGCATATGAATTCATTACCCTGTATGTCAATCTTAATGATATTTGGGACAATGTTATTATGGGGAGAAATTCCGAGTTTGTGGTCAGTTTCTGCTATCTTTTTATTTTTTTATACCATGATTTTTTGTAACTGTGAATCCTAACCATTAATGTGAGACTCCTAGACGCATATATTGTGATTGAACAGAAACCGTGCTATCTCAAGAAACATTCATGTTTCATTTTTTAAAGATTTTAGAGAGAGAGAGAGAGAGAGAGAGAGAGTGAGCACGAGTGGGGGAGGGGCAAAGGGAGAGGGAGAGAAAGCTCAAGGCAACTCCCTACTGGGTGTGGAGCCGGAAGTGGGGCTGATCTCACAAGCCTGCCATCGTGACCTGAGCCGAAATCCAGTATCAGGCGCTTAACCGGCTGAGCCACCCCGGGGCCCCCATCATTTTAATTCAACTTTGTTCAGAAAAAATAACAGGGAAGTTTATTTGCCACGGAAGGGCTTTTCCTTAGGGATCAGCGATAATAGCAACAGAATAGTAACCACAGAAAAGATCTTTTTGCCGAGTACCTCTTACTGTGTGCCAAACCTAAATAGTGTCTCCTTTCATGATGGCACCAACCCCCTGAGAAATTCTATCACCTCTATTGTGCAGGTGAGGACATGGAGGCTTAGAATGGAGGCACCAAGCTCCTAAGTGATAAGGTCTGGATTTGAACCCAGAGCGTCTGTGAGCTCCCACTTGTAACCAGGGTGCTGAGCTAGCTGGTGAAACATGGATTTCCAGATTTATACCAGAACGCAGTCTTCCCTACAATGAAAAGTGCACCTACTAAGTCTTGTTGTTTCCCTTTTTTGTAGCTCTGTTCACTGCCTACCTTGGAGTCAGCCTGTCCCACATGATGGCTGTGGTGAGTTGGCTTTAATATTGCTTTATCATCAGTGTGATTGATCTGTTTATAGTGATGTGGAAACCTTCCTGAGATCTCGCTGGGTGGTGTCCTGAACAGGAAGGAGTCAGGGCTGCGGTCACCACGACTTTCCCATCTCCTGGGCCTGCCTGTTCCACACACCTTCTAACATCATAATAAATTTTAGTCTAAGCTACAATCACTGGGCTTGCTAAAAAATATCAGAGTGCGTAATTTAAAGAAGTGAAAGTTAGCCTGTATAACATGTTTCTCAAGTTCACGCCATAATTCTGAGTGTTAGGGAACTGACTTTAGAATATCTTCTACTTGAACAGAAAGCCAGAACCATGTGTGGTTGAGAAATCAAGAAAAGGAGGGAAAGGATAATTGGCTATAGACCCAAATGGTTTGGGTTTTGGTTTTAAATGAGCCATTCATTTTTCATACCCCTTGTCTTTTTTTAAACCCCCTGTCAGTCGTTAGTAAGACCTACTCGACCCGTGTCCTAGCTGAATTATTTCATAGGCAGGTTCAGTGCCTCCTGCCACTTTCTCCCTCCTTTTTGGCACTGACTTGCCCTTGACCCTCTCCTTCAGAGCTGCATGAGTTGCTGGGAACAGCCCAGAGGAAGGACCTCCCCTCCAAGAGCTCAGAGTCTGTTTGGAAACTGGAATGGAAGGAAGGAAAGCCAGTAGAGTCCAAGACTGGTCTGGGTGGAAAGCAGGAGGAGAGAGGTCACCATGGCCCGAACTAATCAAAGGGGGCCCTCAGGGGCGCCTGGGTGGCTCAGTGGGTTAAGCCTCTGCCTTCGGCCCAGGTCGTGATCTCAGGGTCCTGGGATCGAGCCCCGCATTGGGCTCTCTGCTCGGCAGGGAGCCTGCTTCTCTACTCTCTCTCTGCCTGCCTCTCTGCATACTTGTGATCTCTCTCTGTCAAATAAATAAATAAAATCTAAAAAAAAAAGGGGGGGGCCTGGGAGGGTGATGAGGGGTCTTCTTCCCACATGTGGTGTAGGAAGCTTGACTGGATGAGAGGGAGGGAAAGATGTGCAAGGTGGACATGCAACCGACCCCCTCAGGGAACGGACGGCCGCGTTTCCCCTGCTAAATGCAGTCTGACTGGGATCTCAGACTTGGTCTTGGTGGGCAGAAGCAGCGTCCGGACCAGGGGCCCAGGGACGCATCCCCCTGGGCTGAATGAGAATAGGAGGAAGGGTGGCGCTCTGGGACGGGATCTCACAGGAGCCTGTGGCTTTTCTCTTCCTCCTCAGGTGGGGCTGCCAGCTTGCACCTGGCCCTTCTGTTTGGCCACACTCCTCTTCCTCTTGCTGACCACGAAAAATGACAACATCTACAGGATGCCCCTCAGCAAAGTCACTTATCCTGAAGAAAACCGCATCTTCTACCTCCAGGCCAAGAAGAAAAGGATGGTTGAAAGCCCTTTGTGAGCGCAACCCCCACCCACAGCCAAGGGCCCAAGAGGGGACTGACATGGCTGACTGCCCCACGTGACTCCCAGGGTCTCGGCAAACTGCTGTTTTTCACTAGCAACAACATTCACACTAACCCATTGGCAATCTGCTCTTAGGCTCATTTTTGTGGCTTTCTTTTAGACTCCAGGAACATCCCCAAACATGTGAGAGACACGTCCAGATGGTCTGCCTTGGTTGGGGCATGGGTGTTAGACATACACTCTACTTATAAAGTCAAATGCTCCAGCAGAAAGAAGACGTGAGACCAGAGCTCACTCTTTCTCGATATTCGTGGTGTTTGTGGGCTGCATGATACTGACAGTATTAAAAATTAAGCTCTACAAACCAACGAAGCTTTCAAAGAATGGAATTGGTGGTCACAAATCAAAGTCAACCCAGAATTCTCCGATAAGCAGTTTGACTTGTTTAAAATCAATACAAGTTCCATGGGACAGCTGTGGCGCCCACAGCGGGTTCTCCAGCTCCTGGGCAGAAGGGCCTGGATGCGGCCCGATGTGTGTGAGGCATTCTACAGGAGATGGTTGATTCTTTCCAGGCTGACACACTGTGTGGGAGGGAGAAAGGGATTTTATCAGTCAGAATGACTCTGTAGTGTTATTTTTCTTAGACATCGCAAAAGACATTTTAGATAAAGTATATGATCTTTTTCTTAGGAGAGTGGATTTGTTTCAATGAGGTAAAATAGGAGAAGTTCCTGGTTTTACCAGCTGCTGGTTATTAAAGAAAAGTTACATTTTTTAATAAAATACTCAGCATAGCTCTTTTTACTTTAATCCCCAAGTTGATTCTGTAAATGCCAGGAATGCCTAGAACCAAGTCATCAACCTCCAGGGCCCTTTAAAACCACATTTGGAATTCATCTGAGGATGTCTTCTACCTTATAAAGACTGAAAATGAAGGTCGAATTGTTTCTGGGTGCTCAGAAGTTGTTGAGTTTCTTACTTTAAAAAACAAATTCATTATTTTCTGCACACTCACAATATTCTCACTCAGAAACCTGACAAGACGTACCAGTAAAGGGTTCTCCTGTTTTTCTTTGCTTTAATTATAAAGTTATCAGTCCTATAAACATTCTGTACCTGAATATGTTGAGGACGCCGTGGAAAGTTTGCTCACTACCTTCTAGTTCAGTCTGTATCAATTCAGTATTTTGGGGGATTCAAAAAGAGAAACCGTAGAAGCCTAAAGGATTTTTCTCCTTGGAGTTTGCCAGGCTCAATGCAAAACACACAGTTTGATGCGTGAAAAAACAGAAGGGAAGGAAACCTACAAATATCTTGGGAAGAAGTCCACATCTTCCTTTTCTCGGGGAACACAAACATTGCTCCACTTTAACAACCCTGCAACAAAAGCCCTTTGAAGCCCTGAATTTGCAACTCTCACAGAGTCATGTGCATGCCTGTGGAAAAACTAAATTTTTAATTGTTCAGATGGACATCACCCTTGTTAGGGAATTTGTGAAATAAGTTTGGGGGGTAGGGAGGGACACAAAAAAGCAAGCAGAACCAAAGATAACCACGAGTGAAGAACCTGGGCCATGGTTGAGCGACCCAGAGCCACTAACATGTCTTCAGGCCCATCTTCACAAGGAGATCAGGAGTGTTCTCTGTGCCTTCTCCTGGTGCGCTCACACAGGCGTGTAAATGGGAACATTCTAAAGCCTTGTACATTGTCTAATTTAAATGGTATTAATTTTCTCAGGCTATTTTTGTTACTAAGTATTATCCTGAAATAAAGTGAGCATTTTGTTAGTTTTCTTAGGGATCACTTGTGTTCTTTCCTATTGTCTGTATAACCAATTTCTGATTAAGAATATGAATAAAATTATATTCACAGCTCAGTTTTGTGTAAATTTTTAAAGTCCCGTACGCCTTTTATAGCTATCGTGAACATTCACAATCACATGCATGTGTGTGTATTGCTTAGAATTACTTATATTTTGATGTGCTGTATCTTTATTCCTTTCTTATACATGGTACAGGACCAGATGTGTTGCTGGGCAAACCCTGTTCAACTCAGAGGTATGGACCCATCCCTGCGGGCCTTCTCTCAACTCTGCATTGTTCTTCTCGCTCAGGGATGAGAACAGATTCCTTAGGGCAGTCATCGATGCTCAGCACACATTCCCAACACTTTGAGATGAACATGCAGGCAGCTTCCATGTGTGTCCTACAGGCCCCGGGCACCCCCTGGCCGCAGGACTAAGGCTGGGCACACCTAAGTGGTGAGTGTCCTGGGAGGAGCTACTTCTCAGATTGAAGGCGAAGCCACGCTCCCCTTGAAGGCGAAGCCACGCTCCCCTCTGCTACCTGAAGCATTTCCCTCCCACCTCCCTTCATCTGTGGTTAGTGGGCTTGAAAGAAGACATGGTAAGAATGGAAAGTCCCTCCAAGTTTCCAAAGCAGCCCAAACAAGGTTGGGTTAGGAAATAAGAAGGCCACAATGGATTAGCCCCATTGGAGTGCCCTCTGTCAAAACAAAACCTCTCCAAGGGGCACCTGGGTGGCTCAGTCAGTTGTGCAATGGACTCTTAATTTGGGATCAAGTCATGTTCTCAGGGTTATGAGTTGGAGTCCTGCCTCGGGCTATTCCCGGGGTGTGGAACCTGCCTGAGATTCTCTCTCTCCCCTTTCCCCACCAACCCTCACCCCAGCTCACACACATGTGTGCGCTCTCTCTCTCAAAAACAAAACAAAAAATACCCTCTCCTACCTATTGTTTTAAGACAATAAATTTGTGAAAGCGATCTGGTCATTAAATGCCCTCTTTGGTCTGAGGTAGAAAACAGAAGGTTTTAAGGTTCTTCAGCTAAAGACTTCAAATGCTGGGGCGCCTCGGTGGCTCAGTGGGTTAAAGCCTCTGTCTTCGGCCTAGGTCATGATCCCAGGGTTCTGGGATCGAGCCCCGCATCGGGCTGTCTGCTCCGCAGGGAGCCTGCTTCATCTTCTCTCTCTCTCTCTGCCTGCCTCTCTGCCTACTTGTGATCTCTGTCAAAAAAAAAAAAAAAAAAAAAAAAAGACTTCAAATGCTCTATAAAGTTATCCATGGTACCTGATTAGCATGAAATATGTTGAGGTAGGAGGTTAAGTTCGACAGGAGATCAGAATTTTCCAAGGTGGCTTCTTACAGACAACCCTGCAGGAATATTTTTGGGGTGGTTAAGTAGAGCACAACGTTTTAGGCATAAGAAAGTTTTCAGCCTTCCCTTTAGTCCAACAACTTCCTTCTAAAAGGCTTTCATCTTTAGAGAGAAATCTGCTTCTTGAACCTACACCAACAGCTCCTCCCATCCCCGATCATTAGAAGGCTTGTAGCTTCCAGGCTAGAGAATGCCATTTGCTAACAGTCACCGGTACAGATCCTGAAGAAATTTCAACAAATAGAATAAATAATAGACTTTGAAAGATGTGGATTTAAGTCCTATAATAGTCTGCTTTCACCGGCTCTTAAAATTGAACTACAAATACAGGTAGCAGATCAAAGCAGACATATGTGAAATCCTCTAAAAGAAAAGACTGCTCCTGGGTCTGACCCTCACCTTACTAAGTGTTAACCAGGGAAGTGTGAACACAGCCAGAGCATCTGATGGGAGAACAGGTCAACCACAGAAGCTTAGGAGCTGGAGGCAGACAAAGGCAGGGGGTCTTCAGCTCTGGGAGTCATGGCCCAGGAACAGGTGTCCAGGGATACCCCGTGGCGGAAATGGGCACACTGGGGGGATCACAGTTTAGCAAACGTAATCACTTAGATCAAGAGGCTAATGCCCCTTGTCTGAGCCTGTACTCCCAAGCTGTTTCACTTCCTGTATAGATTTGCCTTCTAAGGGAAACAACGCACTTGTCCATACTTGTGAATTTCTGACCCGCAATAGTTACATTTCTCGTTTTAATTAATAATTCCATTCTGAGAATAGGTTTTTGTAAAGGGTTTTGTTTTGGGGGGGTTTTGCCTGTACGTGTCACCAAAACCCAAATCAGCCCATGGTGTTCCAACGAAGTCAAGTTTCTGAGGCTACAAAGGTGGGTGGGGTGGCGGGTAGTCATGGAAGACCTTCCTGAGGATGGGAGCTTTAGGTCAATACCTAAAGAGCAGGCCAGGGATGGGCTGGTGGAGGAAGGTGGGGGATGGAGGGAGCAGTGTTCTTGGCAGATGGAAGCTCATGCATAAAGGCCTTGAGATAAGGAGATTTATGTTTTCAAGAAGTGAGAGAAGACTGACATGGCTGCACCATGGTAAGTGGATTGGGGTGGATTGGCATGGATTTGGGAAATCAAGTTGACCATTCCAGTAACACAGGAGAGAGGTAGTTGGCTCAGACTCCAGTGAGGGCAGGGAGATGGAGAGAAGTTGATGGGTGTGAGAAACAAGAGGTGGGATCCTCAGTACTTGGTAATGGATTCATGTGGGAAGTGAGGGAAAGGGAGATGTCAAGGAGCGTTCTCTGAATTCTCACTTGGGTCACAAGGTGGATGGTGGTGCTGCACAGAGATGGGAGCACTGAAGAGTCACTTCTTCTCTCGTGCTATACATCTTCTTGTCCAATCCCATCTTTCCAGAGTTTTAATCCAGACCCTTTCTTCAACGGTCTATGGGGACTGTTCCAAAAGTATCAATTTCAACACATCCAGGGCAAAACTCATCTTCTTCAACTATTCCACTCTCCCCTCTGTGCTGAGTTATGGGGAAATGTAACACCCTCTAGCTTACTATCCAAGCCAGAAACAGTGTGCCATTTTTAGCTTCATTCTCTCACCTCTAGGCTATAGCCAAATTCTAGGGATTTTACTTCCCTGTTAGCCCCCATTGGTTCATTAATTGGCAAATATTTATTGAATAACTATTTATTACATAATAGGAACTGGGACTGCCATAGTGGACCCGACCGTCACGGCCACTGCCCTCACAAGAACTTTATGAAGTGAACCGACAAGTAAATGAGTAAAGGGAGTAGTGTGGTAATGTGGATGAGTAAGAGGTAGCTGGACAACAAGGTTGAAGAGTGATTTCTGTGACTTCTCCCTTCTAAGAAACAGAAGATAAAACATACCATTAAGTACCAGACATCCATACCAGTCAGCAGGCTTTGGGTAGCAAGTAATAGAACAACAGTAGTTTCAGTCTTAAAGCAGAAAGTTCTGTTCCAAGTTTAGTGCAACTGCTCAACAATGTCATCAAAGATACAACGTCCTTCTATCCTCTTCAGCATTCTCAGCATCTTCAGAAGACTTCATTTTCATCCCTGTTGCCTCATGGTCCCAAAACAGATGCCTTGTTACAGACATCACAACCACATCAGAAAGAAGGAGGCAACCAGAGTTGCAAGTGAGACATTCTTTCGTGTCTCTCTTTTTTTATAAGGGAGGAAAATCTTCCCCAGAAGCTTTCCCCAAATCCTATCACTTGTCTCTTTTTGGCAGAACTGGGCCATATGGATGTTCCTGACTGCAAAGGAGTCTGGAAAAGCATGGATCTGGCATTGTTGGCCTCTACTGTAGCAGGTGAACTCTACCATACTGCCAGGAAAGCAGGAGGAATGGCTATTGGACAAGCAGACAAACATGGGTGTCACAGTGGGGTACATAGTATACAGTCCCTTTGTGCCCAGACCACAGTGGAGAGAGCTACATGGTGGCAGACAAGACCGTTTATAGTGAGGTTCACAAAGGGGTTTGGGACAGAGAACTAAATCGAGACCTTTTACACAGAAAGACTTTGTGGAGCACTTGCTGGAATATTCCCAGAGTACTTTAGGATACCCCAGCTTCATACAAGATTTTGTAGCCTCTGACTAACAAGATTCTAAGCAAAAAGTGAGGCAGCCAGCAATAATGATCAGAGCAAGGTTTAAGTTTAGGGTCATTTCATGCCTTAATTAGTCCTCTCCATCTAAAGAGTCGAAGCCTCTAAATCATTCGAGGTCAGAAGCCTCCCCTGGGAATAGTTGAGTTTCAATTCAATTCCAGCTCAATGAAGCACTGAAAACAAGTGGCTGACAGTTTCTGCTTCATGGTTCCTAATAAACAATGAGAAAGCCCGTTTCCTGTTTGGGTTGGGTCCACTGGATCCTAGCCCTTAGAAGCTTTGAATTATATCACAGTGACATGCAAGAACTTGAAGGGGAAGAAAGGAAGCACAGAGGAAAGTTGGTACAGTGTCAGGAAATCTGGCTCAAGTTAAGTCCCTCAGACCACAGGACACAATGGCAGCTAGGACATGAGTCAGTGACCCAAGAACAAGCACATCTTGGGGCAATGAGCGCACATACAGGCAGGTCATAGGAGTGGCAAATCCAGTGAGGAGACCTTTCCACCTTCTGAGACCCCATGCTGGTGTCTCAACAAGAGGGGAGATTTGCGGTAGCAAGTAGCCGCACACAACACTTGAAATAAAGCCAGCCCCAGCTGAGGTGTTCAAAAGTATGAGCATGAGTATGTTCAAAAGTACACACTGGATTTCAAACATAGAAGACCAAAAAAATGAATAAATAAAATATCTCAATAATTTTGTATATTGATTAAATATTGAGATGTATACTTTGTATCCATTGGGTTCAATAAGACATATTATTAAATTAATTTCACCTTTAAAGAATTTGTTATGGGGGCGCCTGGGTGGCTCAGTGGGTTAAAGCCTCTGCCTTTGGCTCAGGTCATGATCTCGGGGTCCTGGGATCAAGCCCCGCATCGGGCTCTCTGCTCAGCAGGGAGCCTGCTTCCCCCCTCTCTCTCTGCCTGCCTCTCTGCCTACTTATGATCTCTGTCTATCAAATAAATGAAATCTTTGAAAAAAAAAAAAAAGAATTGGTTATGTGGGGGGCACCTGGGTGGCTCAGTCAGTTAA